GCGGGCCGCAGGCGTCCAGGCTCCCGCGCTCACGTCACCTCTTCTACCGGGAAACAGCCAGAGGTTAGACCTCAGGAGGAACCACCCAGCATCGCACTATCCGTGCATTTATCAAAAATGGAGAGCCTGCTTTGGGCAAAGCACGGAGTGTAACCTAGGCCGCTGACCTCAGGGAGATTTCAGCTCGGTGACCCGCCGCTTCGGGAATTCTTTGCAGAAGTGGGCGCGCGCAGGCCTTGAAACTGCCCAGGGGTCGCTGCAGGTTCCAGCCGGGAGTCGTGTGCGACTGCCTTGTTTAAACGCAGACTCTGCCCACTTCCGAGCTTTGTGACCAGTGGGCAGGTTAACTGACCTCTCTGTGCTGTGTCTTTAAAATGGGATTTCGGTTTATGAAAGTTTCTACTTCATAGGATTGTTGGAAGGATAAACATGAGTTAATCCCTATAAAGTGTTTTTTGGACAAGGCCTGGTCCCTGTCGGGTGCACAATTTATGTTAGCCATTATTAGTAGATTTTATTTTATTTTATTTTATATTTTTGAGTTGGAGTCTCACTCTGTCGCCCAGACGGGAGGCCACCGCAGCCTCAACCTGCTCCGGCGGTCCTTCCGCCTCAGCCTTCCAAGTAGCCGGAACTACAGGCGCGTGCTACCACGCCCAGCTAATTTTTGATTTATTGTAGAGATGAGGTCTCGCCAAGTTGCCCAGGCAGATCTCGAACCCGCGGGCTCAGGCAATCCACTCACCTCAGCCTCCCAAGGTGCGGGATTACAGGTGGAGCCACCGAGCCCGGCTTGCTAGTAGATTTTAAAATACCATTTTACTTAGGCTGTTAAGTCCAAGTAATGCTTGGCTGCTGTCCCCTTATACCAATAAATCAAAGAGGCAGGGAATTGGTAGAAAGAAGTTTATTTCTGAATTCGAATCCAGGGGGCCTTCGTCCTTTTTAAAATGGTTCTGCTCACCCTTCAAGTTTTAGAGTCATCTGCTTTTGTTGGTGCCTACAGATTAGCCACGTGACCAGCAGAGCATTGTGTAGAGCTTAAGTTAGGGTCCAGGCTTCCTGGTGCCAGGTGCCAGAGATAACTCCCAGCTTTTATCAGTAAGGCCCCACAGAAGCGCTTATCAAGCTTGCCATAGAGTAAAGGGAGTTTACAAGGGCTAAGCCATGGTGCATTACCCAAAAGTTGTACCAATCACAAAACTTAGGATCACATTGATGCTGTTCAAACCTTTGACTACTAAGAAAAGGGAATAGATGGGGATTTACATCTTTCAGTTTATTGGGCATAGTCTGCAGGGAAGTCAAGGATCTTTCGAAGCTACTTACCGCATAGGAGATAAGGGGAAGCACACCTTTTATCAGCTCTCAGGAATGTACAGGAGTGCTTGAATCCTTGCCGTGCGCTTCTCTAGGGGCTGTGGCAATATGGATGGACATTAGTGGGGTTCTGTACCAAGGTTACATATTGCAAAGGAATAGAAATTGTGAAAGTCTTCTTCACGCTTCACATATGCTTTAGAAAATGTCAAACCTGAGCCCAGTGTGGTGACACCACCTGCAGTCCCAGCTACTGGGGAGGCTGAGGCAGAAGGGTCCCTCCAGCTGGATGTTAAGGCAGCAGTGAGCTATGATTGTGCCTGTGAATAGCCACTGCACTCCAGTCTGGGCAGTATGTGAGATCCCGTCTCATTAAAAAAAAGAAGAAAGAAAATGTTTAATTTGTGTACTTTTCATGGTAGAGAAGACACAAAGGTGCCAAAGTTCTTCCAAAGCCACCTTTGAATAGTGACTGAATAGTGGAGAGAAGACACATGCTTAAATACTTGGGACATTAAATAACAAGCGTCAAAGAGGACTCCAAACTAATGGATATCAGTGTTGCATGATTATAAACAACTAGGGTGAGAGAATCAAGGAGGTCTTCATAGAAGAAGTGGCATTTGCACAAGGCCTTGAAAAATAGGGTAGAAGAGATGGAATCTGATTGGCTATCAGAGCAGTGGTCCAGGGCATTCTTCTGGATGAGAGACATCCTTCTGCATTTGATTAATTCTCAGCAGCCTTTTATTAGGTACTGTTATGTATATGCCAGGCCTGGTGAAATCATTATTCCCTAAAATCTGCTGCCATTACACAGCCTGTTAGGCTACCTCCTCCTCAGCCTCTAGGACTCAACTCAGATGTCAGATGTGGGCCGAGCGTGGTGGCTGACTCCTGTAATCCCAGCACTTTGGGAAACTGAGGCAGGAGGATTGCTTGAGCCCAAGAGTTTGAGACCAACCTGGGTATCATCGTGAGACCTCATCTCTACTAAATAAATAAAGTCAGATGTGATCTCCTCCAGAATCTTTCCATATCCCCTCAAGGCATGTCCAAGGCATCTTGCTTTTGTGTTTCCACAACTTGGAATGTAATTGTTAGTTTTGGGGGTTTTTTTGAGTTGGAGTCTCACTCTGTTGCCCAGGCTGGAGTGCAGTGGCACACACGCTTACGGTCACTCCAGTGTCGACCTGCTGGGTTCCAGAGATCCTTCCGCTTCAGCCTTCCAAGTAGCTGGACGACAGGTGTGTGCTACCACGCCCGGCTAATTTTTTTGATTTATTGTAGAGACGAGGTCTTGCCGGGTTTCCCGGGCTGGTCTGGAACCCGCGGGCTCAGGTAATCCACTCGCTGCGGGCTCAGGCAATCCACTCTCCTCGGCCTCCCAAAGTGCTGGGGTTACAGGCTGAGCCACTGAGCCTGGCCTGAATGCATGATATTCTTTGTTGACCTCCTATTTTGTCCATGGCAATCACTTGCTAAGGGAATGGGGTAACGGGATTGACCAGTTCAGGGGGCAGGGCATATTACCCAATGAAGGAGGATGAGGAAGCTTTCAGGGTACCAAGAAGACCACCAGAGCCACGCTAGTCCACAACAGATGCTAATATCTTAAGTCTCCAAAGTCTCCCTCATTTTTGCTTAGCCTTGGACTTCTGCTCAGAGCTCTGTCTCAGAGCCCAAAGACTTAGCTTCCTGTCAGGAGCTGACTTCAGCCCTGGGAAAAGCAAGCCCACTGCACTTGCTTGGATAGATTGGTAAGGGAGACTGATAGGAGGTTCTCTGGCATTTGCCAAGGGCAAATTTTTTTATGATGAGGGATGAGAAACAGCAGTATGTCCCAGGAGACTGATTATGGCACTAGAGTCTGAATCAGAAGTCTGGAATGCAATTTGGTACATTGCCTTGAGCTTACTATAGATATTCAGCAAATTAATCGATCACTAATTCCAGAATATTTTTGACAATAAATATGAAGCTTGTGAATAATTTAAATAATGTGCCAATTATTGAAATTTCCAGTGGCCTGAAATCAGGAGGTTTGGGTTTCTTTGCTGAGAATGGCTCCCTGCAGGGTCCCTTGGGGCCATGTGGAGTAGTTTTGGATCCTTGATCTGACAGATTAAGAGAACTTCAGGCTGAGGCCTGTCACTTATACAAAAATACTCTTCATGGAGATTGAGGGGACCAGAGAAAGGAAGCAAGTGATGTCTCTGAAACATTGTCTTTAGAGAGGCAGTCTTCGTGTTAAGGAATTCGCACAAATACACCTAAGAGCCCTCAGGGAAGCAACCCAGTGTAGTCGAAACTTGTAGACTCTGTGGGCTCAGACATATGTATTTGCAAAGCATAATTTTCAAAAAGCTAAAAACAATTCTTATGCAAATACATAGTGAGCATGTATTAAAGATGAATTAATTAGAGCGATGTTATGGATTAATTTCGTTCCCCCCAAATTCATATGTTCAAGTTTTAACCACCAGTGCATTCAAAATGTGACTATATTTGGAGGTACGGCCTTTAAAAAGAAGTAACTAAAATTAAATGAAGTAATAAGGGTGGGCCCTAATCCGATAGAAGTGCTGTCCTTATAAGAAGAGGCACTGGGGGAACACATGGACAGAGAAAGCCCATGGGAGGCAGCAAGAGAGCGGCCATCTACAAGCCAAGGAAGACTTCCGTCCTCCAGAACTGTGAGCAAATAGGTTTCTGTTGCTTAAGCCACCCAGTCTGTGGTATTTTGTTATAGCAGCCCTAGCAAAATAATACAAGAGGAAACCATCAGGAAGGGAAATTGGCTTAAAGAAAGGGGGATGGAAGAAACTGATCTATGTAGTCAGATAAAAAGCACTCTGGAGTAAGATTGCTAAATTTAGTGCTGAGCAGTGGCTTGTGCATATAGTCCCAGCTGCTCAGTAGGCTGAGGCAGGAGGATCGAAGGAGACCAGGAGTTCGAGTTTCTAGCCTGGGCAACAGTGCCAGACACTGTCTCAAAAAAAAAAAAAAAAAAAAAAAAAAGACAAAAAATTGGGTTAGTGCTCTACAAGTCTATACAAATATAACCTTTTTTTCCCCCCCCAAGTAGCTGGAACTAC